ATGTTTGCAGTCTCTGACCATCTCCTGTATCCAGGGGCGGACTGACCATTTGGAAACTCGGGCACTGCCCGAGGGCCCGGGGCAGTATGGGGCCCCATGAGATGCCCCTGGTACCTTTTTAATAGGCTCTTTTGGGCTTGGACAAGGACACAGGGGCCCCATGATCCCCTATTGCCCGGGAGCCCCATGTGTTGTCAGTCCACCCCTGCCTGTATCACATCTGCAGTCTCTGACCATCTCTTGTATCATGTCTGCAGTCTCTGACCATCTCTTGTATCATGCCCATTGTCTTCCCATGGTCCCTGCTGTGTGTGTTCTGTCTCTGAGACTGAATATTCACATTTTGTGTGGTCCTTGGTGATGTCAAGGGCCACACTTGAGGCCCCCATGTTAAGAAAGTTGACCACCATATACCTTTACAGCAGGGGTCTCCAAACTTTCAAAACAAAGAGACAGCTTACTGCCCTTCAAATTTTTTGAGGGCCAGACTGTGGCGAGTGGGAGGAATAGTACCCCATCATTGGTGTTAATGGGAGGAATAGTGCCCCATTATTGGTGTCAGTGGGAAGAATAGTGCCCCATCATTGGTGTCAGTGGGAGGAATAGTGCCCCATTATTGGTGTCAGTGGGAAGAATAGTGCCCCATCATTGGTATCAGTAGGAGGAATAGTGCCCCATCATTGGTGTTAGTGGGAGGAATAGTGTCCCATCATTGGTGTCAGTGGGATGAATAGTGTCCCATCATTGGTGTCAGTGGGAGGAATAGTGTCCCATCATTGGTGTCAGTGGGAAGAATAGTGTCCCATCATTGGTGTCAGTGGGATGAATAGTGCCTCATCATTGGTATCAGTGGGAGGAATAGTGTCCCATCATTGGTATCAGTGGGAGGAATAGTGCCCCATCATTGGTGTCAGTGGGATGAATAGTGTCCCATCATTGGTGTCAGTGGGAGGAATAGTGTCCCATCATTGGTGTCAGTGGGAAGAATAGTGTCCCATCATTGGTGTCAGTGGGATGAATAGTGCCTCATCATTGGTATCAGTGGGAGGAATAGTGCCCCATCATTGGTGTCAGTGGGAGGAATAGTGCCCCATCATTGGTATCAGTGGGAGGAATAGTGCCCCATCATTGGTGTCAGTGGGAGGAATAGTGCCCCATCATTGGTGTCAGTGGGAGGAATAGTGCCCCATCATTGGTATCAGTGGGAGGAATAGTGTTCCATCATTGGTGTCAGTGGGAGGAATAGTGCCCCATCATTGGTGTCAGTGGGAGGAATAGTGCCCCATCATTGGTATCAGTGAGAGGAATAGTGTCCCATTATTGGTGTCAGTGGGAGGAATAGTGCCCCATCATTGGTGTCAGTGGGAGTAAAAACAGTCTATAACTGGTGTCAGTGGGATGAATAGTGCCCCATCATTGGTATTAGTGGGAGAATAGTGCCCCATCATTGGTGTCAGTGGGAGGAATAGTGCCCCATCATTGGTGTCAGTGGGAGGAATAGTGCCCCATCATTGGTATCAGGGGCGGACAGACCATTTTAAAACTCGGTTACTGCCCAAGGGCCCGGGGTCAGTAGGGGGCCCCATGAGATGCCCTTGGTACCTTTTTCATAGGCTTTTTTGAGTTTGGGCAAGGACACAGGGGCCCCATGATCCCCTATTGCCCAGGGGCCCCATGAGTTGTCAGTCCGCCCCTGATAATGCCCCATCATTGGTGTCAGTGGGAGGAATAGTGTCCTATCATTGGTGTCAGTGGGAGGAATAGTGTCCCATCATTGGTGTCAGTGGGAGGAATAGTGTCCTATCATTGGTGTCAGTGGGAGGAATAGTGTCCCATCATTGGTGTCAGTGGGAGGAATAGTGTCCCATCATTGGTGTCAGTGGGAGGAATAGTGCTCTTTCTGGGCACTGATGAGGTGGAATGGATAGGCAGCACTGATGGGCATTGATGGGCACTGATAGGCAACACTGATGGACACTGATAGGCTGCACAGATCAGGAATAGGAAATGTCGGGTTTATATTCTTTACCATATCAAAAGAAAGTCCAACACCAGCTTCAAGTCGTGAATATTATTTATTGTTTTAATGTTTTGTTTTTTTTTTATATTACTATAATGTATTGATTCAAAATACGCGGCACAAAGCGCAAACACCTGAACTTGTACATAACTGTCTATATAAACCGCAAATATTGCAAAAACACAATCTGTTATAGATAACAATATAAACACTATGACAAGCTCTGCGTCCCCAACATACAGAGACGATGCAAATATCGCATACCGCATTGTGGATCTCATCATTCTGCAAATGTTGCATACCAGAAATATAATCAATCAAACGAGTAACACCCCCGGTCACACTGGATGCGAATCGGCATGCGATTTGCATTCATGCCATGCGACTTGCAAATCGCACGCCAAGTCGCACCCTATTGTACACAATTACAGCGGTCATATCAGTGCAGTTCTGACTTGGTTGGAGCCGCACCGATTTCTA